CATATAAAAAAAAAAATATATATATATATATATCTCATGATCCACTGATCAACCAGATTAGTATGGGACCACCTCTGAGACACTACCTTTCCGATGCAAAAAGAATTATCGAAATCGGTTGACGCGGTCCAAAGTTATGCGGTAACATACATACAAAACAAAAACAAAAAAAAATATTCCGACGAACTGATAACCTCCTCCTTTTTTGGAAGTCGGTTAAAAATAGTGTTGCTATGCAAACACGGTTTGTAATGTAAAAATTATTAGTTTAGGTTGAAAAGACTGAAGAGCAGAACCTTGCTAAGAGCTCTTATTTCCACCTGTGCTATGTCTGCAAGTATTGCAAGGTTTGCGAAAGTGCGTAATCGTCTTCTATAATACTGCTGTTCCACAGGATGAAAGAGTTTTCCCGTTCAAACGGAGTTATTAATATTCCTACCGTGTTCTCTCTAATTCAGCACACTTCTTCTTGATACACCGATGACCTGTTGATGTGCCTAGGATATCTGTGGAGCTAAAACAATTTTGCGCTTCTTTGTATGCATACTTAAAGAACGTGGTTTTATTAAGTCATCTAGAATGTAAATTTCATGATTTCATCGCCTTCTATGTTTTGGGTCCCATTTTTTGCAGAAGTACTTTTTATCCTAAAGTTAATACCCGTTAATTCAGGTCATCTGTCGGCGCCATTTTTTGCGAAAGTATATTATACGCTGCAGAGCGTATGTGAAGTATGAATCCGAAGTTATGGCTAATTAAAAATTTCACACCTATGGGATGAGCCACGCCCCTTTTACCAAAGTACATCTACTTTACAATAAGCATCTACCATTGATATGTATTTCAACACACAAAATTTTAAAGTCATGTGGCTTACGGTTTTGAAGTTATAGCTGATTAAAAATGTCGCGCGTATGAAAGGTGCTACGCCCCCTTGTCCGATATCATTTTTTTATACCCTAGGCTACGTCCGAGGTTACTCCCTATATACCAGTTAATGTCCCAAACAGACAAACAGATAAGCAAACTACAGTTTTATTATAGTATAGATTATCGTTTTATTTCGGCTACCTGGCAATCCTTTGTTGTCACGTACGCAAAACGTTAAATAAAAATTTAAGGCCTGCTATAATGCATTCTCCGCCAGCTTGAGCACGATCGCTATGCACATGCATACATGCATACAAGTGCATTTAACTGCATATTGTATACACACTGGGTTGCATTCCTTCTCTCGCTTATGCACTCTAAGTACTCAAAAATACATATAATTATGTATAGTGGCAATACCAGGCAGGGAGCAAATGTGCATTCACATACATACAAATGTATCTCAGATTTTTTCAATTTACTCAACACGAAGATGTGTATACTGTAACCACAAAGGTGCTTATGTACATATGTACTACATACATATGAACCTAAATATATACCTTACAAAACAGTGTGTAAATGAGTTAAAATTATTGTAATGGTAGGCTGTGATCTTTGGATCCCGAGAAGTAAAATGCCTTTGCTGTGAAAGAACACAATCCATTTCCTCAATATTCTATAAGTATATAAATAATCTGCACGAATGGTTTGCCGAATGTATTTAGCCTCATCCTTGGGAGGGCTGTACTTTCCCCCAGGAAGTGTTCGACTGTCTCTTTTGAGCCTGGGGTATTACAATTGCGACAGAACCTATTAAAGGGAAAGCTAAGCTAATCCTTTTGGCATATATCTCAACGGTCTAGGGGCCTACGCAGACTGCAGTAAATTTCTAGGTATCCTCTTCTCTCATTCCTAAAAGAACTCATAGTCTTAAGTGAGTCGTAGTACCCCCGGAACTGCCGGGTAATCCTATTCGATCCTGCACGGTTGCAGCTCTGTCTGACTTTGCTTTGATCTCCCTAAATCAGGCCTCATGTCCACCGCATGGGACACATTCAGTGCCGAGCCGCACCTTACGAGTTCGTCCTCTGCCTATGTCCCGAGACATATATTACGGTAATTTCGTATTCAACAAAAATCGAGGCCAGCTCTCCCCTACAGTTGTCCACTATTTCAGATATCAAAGGTAAAAGAGAGTGCTTTAATTGCTGCTAGTGCCTCCTTAATTACCTAGAACCGCTTGCATAGTCTGGTAGGCGAAAATATAAGTTTAGGTTATATGAAACCACTTGGCTTCCAATTAAGTTTGGAACCATGGTTTAGTAAAATTATGTAATATTGCTTTATTTGCGAAAAGCATACGACATTTTTCTCAGGGTTTACGCGCGCGGTAAAAATGGAAATTTTGGTATTGCACTTATCTGAATATCACAAATTTGCCGCCTACCAAAATATGCCGCCCTGTGCAAGTGCTCTAAGAGAGAGAGTGTGTGTGTAAGTCCAAGGCTGGCTGTAACTCAATTTGGCTCAGCGAATCCTGGGCGCAAACCAAGACATGTGCAACTGCAAGGTCGTTCTAGACGGAATACGAGCTAGGAACGTACAAGGGATCATCTTGAACTGGGAAAGTCCCAACTTTTATTTCTATTGATGCTTAGAGGACGATGAGGTGGAATCATCTCAACACTATCTGGTCTAAACGCTTTGGACCACTGTTTTTAATAATATTGCTCTGAGAGGCTCTCCGTGACTGCAACTGCGGCCGGCAAAACTTCGTTATTGGCACATACAGGCAGGTTCTTCGATTCACTACCGAGTGAATTTCAACCCCCTTTCAGTTTGGATTGAAAGTGACTTTAGTGAAAATTCACTCGGAAATCTACTGCAGAACCTGCCTGATAGTTCCTGATTGTAGTTGCATCTCAAAGGACTGACGCTTACTAAATGTTACTATTTGTTACTTTAACCTATCTGTATCGTTTAGTTTTGCTCATACAAGGTAACGAAACACAACCGTTTCAAATCACTAGGAAACAGTTTGCGAGCGGCAACTTTACTCTGCTAGATTTCGCAGAGAATGAAGAGAAAGAGGAAAGCAAACCAATCATAAAGTTAAGCTAAAATTAGTCAAGAACGCAGAACGTATACTTAAACGCAGTCTGTGTACGCAGAATTTTGTCGATTACTGGAGCTCTCAGTGTTGCTTACTACAGTGTTGCCACTCACCAATACCTTTTCATAAACTTACCTTGGTAAAAACGTCAACTACAATTTTTCGTGCTATAATAGACTGTAGCTAAATATAAACTATTTAGTTTTCAACAAAAAACCTTATTCAATAGTAAATTTCAAATATTTTAAACATATTTTGATTAGGAACTTATAACTTGTTTACCATCTGCAAAACTGACGAAGTGGCAACCATCTAAAGAAGGAAGAAATCAGCTGACACGGAAAAATCTAAATTCCGCAGATTTCTGCGCTACGGTCTACAACTACAGAAAAATTCTGCGGTGTTGAGCTTTCATTTACATGGGGCTTTGGTAAGACTGATCGTGTCAGCTGACTGGGGTTTACGTACCGGTAGGTTTACGTTTTTGACTCATTTCAGCTTAAGTGCTCACACCACACTATTGTGCATATCATAGGACGTAGTATTTTGCAAAGAAACCTACTGAAGGAGTTGAACCATTCTGCTAACTTCATAGGCAACATTCAATTACTCAGCATTAAAGGAGAGAATGGTTTCCTTTGTTTTGCAAGTGGGCAAAGGAACAAACAATTCATTTGGTTTGTACTCAGCTGCAATTGAAACGTATCGTGTATTGTTAGTGCTCGGGATCAGTATGACAAACGGAGCACAAACTGTTCGTACTTGTTGCGGGAATGGGTGATACGTTCGGTTTGTTTTCGTACTCTGCAAATCACCTTTTATATCGACAGGCCTTGACTCAAAGATAGTGGCACTGGGTATACAAAATTCGGGTGCAATTCAAGCTTGCAAACTAGTCTTAGGGCTTCGACCTAATTATAGCAAAGTAAAGAAGTATACTTGAGAGGTAAAGTTGTTTAGCAAAGTATACCACAAGAATAGCATAGAACCTGCCTTGCTTGTTTCTAATTGGAGATACGGAGATCGTCCGAAATTTCCTGTTCGGTTCCGTTTGTGGTATTCGATATAAACTTTTATACCAACTCATTATTTTATGCGCTATTTTTTCGTCTTGACACACTGTCAAGCAATAATAAAGTGCATCATTTACCGCTCGTGTAACTTCTCGTATGGATATGAGCATAAATATGTACATATGTAAATACATTAGACTGCATCACTAACCATACAAAAAAAAAACACACTGGTACTGTTTTTCCACTGGGATTATAAAATCTATTATATTTTAAGACTTTCACCAAAATATCTCGGAAAAATATTAAGATTTACGTGAGCTGGACCGATTTGAAAATACCTCCAAAAATTTAGTGTTTTAATTAATAAAAACTGTTTTAATAAGTATTTTTTGAAAAAAAAATCGCCTCAGATGACCAAACAGTTTAATATTAAAAAATTTGCATAAAATATTAAAAAAAAAAAATATTCTACGGAATCATAATAATGAGATTTTCGGTGCTATTTTTAATCTTTTTCCAAAGACTGGTTTAATAAAAACTTGAATAACTCAGCCAAAACTTTACCAATTTAGACTTATGAGTTATCATTGGTAAGGTATTTTCTCACCCCTTTAATTTCTTTGCGAATAAGCTCATTCAAAGTATGAAAGAGGAAGATAAGATAAACGATGTCATTCCATGTTGAGTTATGATGTGTTGGTATTTGATATAGGAAAAAATTGGGACAGGAGTCAGTTTTTTTGTAAATAAATAAAAAGGGTGAGAAAATCTTAATATTTTTCGGAAATATTTTGGTAGAAGTCTTAATATATAATAGATTTTGTAATCCCACCGGAAAAACTGCAAATTTTTTTGGTGATGCAGTCTAATGTACATATATAATTGAAATTCTCGGCTAGAGCGTTCGTTTGTGATCGTGGACTTACCTGCCTAGTGCGGTTCGCCTGCTTCTTGCATGACCGTTTGCCTCCCAGCAAACCAGATTGGGTTGATAGCAGCACCAGCTGCTGGATGCTAGCCCTCTGGGTGCAGGAGCACTACAGCAACAGCACGAAAACGAGAGCGACTTAGTGAGTATATAATCAAAGTATAGTATATGCGTGAGCAATGATTGTTGTCGCTCGACAGCGCTTCGGCTGAGTTGGTTGGACGATGGGTTGATTAGTCGATCGAGTCGATTTTCAGCGTTTGGCTTTGGTAGTTTTGGTGGCGAGTCACCGGCAAAATAGCAAAACATTCGTCTACTCCACACCGCAGCGAACGTACACGCTGTTGCAGACAACGCGCACGGTTGAAAACAATCAAAACAAAACGGTTGAAAATTAGACCTAAAACAAAAATCGGTGACGATCAAAATAGAAATAAAGTAAAATAAAGATTCAAAAAATTGCACGCGCATACAATTTTTACAAGCAACTCATCAAAAGCATAATAAAAAAAAACAACGAAATTGATTTAAACATGGTACGTGTGTAAAGCTAGAAAAAAAAATTTCGAGTGTTGAAGTGTGAAAATCGAACAGATCCTTCTACATATGGAAGTGTGGGCAAGGACTAAAAAAAAGACACTTCAATAATGTCATAGATTTTTTTTAATTAAATTGACTTAGTTTTACCGCGATCAGCTCGATACGCTTGGCATTTAGATTTTTTTGTGGCTTCGAGCACTTCGCGTCAGCGTGATCGCTAAAAATCGTTTTATGTCGCTTGGGTGACCACAAAATATGTAGATTTTTATATCCTTGTGTTAGATGAATTATGAAATAAATTTATTTTCAGAACATAATTGCACCTACATATGTGCATACATATACATACATATATGTATGTATGTAAATAATAAGCGCGTGTGACATAGAAAATGCGAGAAAGCAGAGTTGATTTATTTGTTGACAGCTGCGAATTGTTTTTGTAAATAATAAAGGGTGTGTATACATATGCGTGTGTGTATGTAAGAAAGAAAAAGTGGTAGATATCAAAAAAGCACTGCATTAAAATGTATGTACGAAAGAAAACGAAATAAAACAATCAAAAGAACCTCGAGATTTCGCATAGATATTTAATAAATACGGCCAAGGCTGTTGAACTTTATATGTATGTAGAAGGCGAGGTAAAGCCACGGGTGTGTGTAGTACTAAATAAAAAATTTTAAAAAAGAGAGGCAAAATCACCAATTTTTTCTGAAATTTATGAATTCGTAAAGTGTCTTTCCAAAAAATGTTGTCAACACCTTTCCGGTGACTAATTTCTTTATCGAATTATCATACCCTGTAGTCAAATTCTCATAGAGAGTAAGAACGAACTCGACTGAACGAGAACTCACTAGCGCTGAGCTATGTAAAGAAACGCAGCGTTGCCGCACTTTATAATTATACAAACTATGTATGTATGTTGTAATTAGAAACAACAAACTCAAAAATATGTATGTCAGGTAACTACATATGTACGCATAAAAAATGGTATTCCAGCAAACACTTGAAAGCCGCAAGCCCCTCCAACTATAAATAGCCGCCACGCGAACAACGCTGCCAAGCAAACAAACGCTTTTTGTGTCATTATCAGCTAAGACAGCTGAGTGGGCACTTCATGACTACAGGCAAACATAATTAAGCCATTTTCAAACAGCTGATGATCGTTACCGACCGACAGACCGCCTGCCTGTGGATGTATAATAACAACCGGTGACGGCCGCACAAACAAATGAGCAAAAAAAAAAACAAACAACAAGCACACCAAAAACTCGCACTATTACCTGAGCTGGCAGAAAATTTATTATAAGTTCATACTACAAATGATTTATGGAGAAAAGTAGCGTATACCCCTAGCTAACTAATCATTTGGTTAACTACATAGCTCCGACGCTAGTAAAACTTTAAAACGACACGCTTATGACCTTAGCAATTGAGCGTGCAAACGATCGGCTGGATCAATGCTTGGAGCGCGTAAACCTAAATGGGTGTGGATATGCCTATGTGGCTCTGCGGCGCTTGTTTGGCTCAGTAAACGATCGAACAGGTGAACGATCAATTTATGGCTTAAATGAGATTTAACCTGTATGTGTAACAAGCTGCCTGCTGCATGCTCACAGCATTCGGGCAAGAAATTTTAATTATGTTCATAAAGCAAACGCTAGCAAATTAGCAACAAATCAACAGATAAACACTAGCAAGCAAGCACAAGCGTTAGAAATTTTTATTTGGCGGAAATATTAAATTGTGTGTTATTGAACTGCGCTGAATGCAGGCACTTAATGTTATCGAGTGATCTGTCTAATGTGGTGATGGTGAAATATTCCAATTAATAAATGTTTGCCAGAGAGCAATAATAAAATGGTAATTTAAAAAATTGGCATTGCCATCAAATAATCATATAATTCATTTCAATTTCTGGAGGGTGGAGGCTGGCAGCTTGTGGTTTCAGCGAAATTTCATAGTTATTATGGAGGGACTGCGGCTTTGCTTTGTACGAATTCCGAAATATTTCATAAGATCAAAAGTTTAAATATTTTATTGATAACAAAGACAACGAGAGAAATAAAATGGAGCACTCTAAATCGTAATTTTTGCGTTGATAAGAAAAAAGGCGAAAGCCTCATTTTATTAGTTATTTCGCTTTAGATATTTTTTTTTATTAAATAAATATTTGTTTTTTATTATCAGAAGTAAAAATTCCACTCTCAAAGATTTTTGGAAATAAATAAATAAATAAACACCCCTATTCTGCAATACTTTCATATTCGGATTTTGCTACGAATCGTAGAAATAGTATGCTGAAATCCGAATCGTATTTTCGAACTTTCGAAAATCGTACCAATGCATGCCTAAAAACGAACGAGTAAGAAATTGATAGCTTTTTTGCGTAATTTTGTACGAAAACAATTCTGTGTCGGAGGCGAAATAAAAGGTGTAAATCGATCTGTGTTTGCAGGAGATATTAGTGGTGTTCATTTAAAGAGATAAATTTGCCTTTCGTATATACGTATATTTTTATCTACTGATTTATATAAATGAACAAAAAATAATCTTTGTTGCCCTTATCGAAAAACTTGGGGCCCGGTTTAGTTATTTGTACAATGATTTCTGTTGTTGTGGCCAAACGCATAACCCGAATATAAAAACTTTTACATACACGTGTAATCACAGGATTAAACTTTAATTTAAAATAAATTTGTCTGTGGATGGCGTAGCCGGAGTTATATGCACAAGAAATGTTGTATGCCTTGAAATGCGGAAGCCCCTCTTCTCCGGCAAGACAGAAAGGATAATTATAATTAGTAAGGGATATAATCCCTAAGCGCGTCCGAAGGCAGAAGCAAGCGCAACAGGTGGTGGACCCAACAAAGTGCATGTTTTCATTGGCTTGGAAGAAGCTGTTATTGCATTAACTGGATTGAGAACCAGTTCTTCAGGCATACGAGGTTGTGGGTGAACAATTAAACCAGAAGCTGACATAGATGCGTCCATGGTTACTATGCCCGACAGCTCCACATATCTTTGTGAATTCACTTCCATAGTGCGCTCTTACTCTGCTGCTATAATTGCAAATGGAATAGAATCCATCGTTTCCTTCAAAATATGTAAATTTAAAAAGTTTACTATAAATAAGCACTTGATGAATCTTTTTTTAATTCCTTTCCACTTTGTTTTCCTTCATACAGCTGTCTTCGAAAAACCACTGATAGCTGGCAATGCTGCACAGGTTTCCGGAAGGGCTGCAGCATGTCGATTTTTCGTTTTTCGTAACGTAGCTACGAATTACGAATTATGAAAATTCGGGTTCCAGAATGCTATCCCTGCAGGCAACTTTTCTCCCCCCACGACGCTATTTCCCGTCGGTATTCTTTTTGGCAGCGCAAAGTCTTCATGTTTAAGATATTTTTATAAAATTCAGGCAGGAAATTAACAAGGATATTGATAGGTGCTATGTCGCTTTCGTAGCTCTCACCTATACTGGATTTGATAGGGAATCCTTGTAAGCACTGAACAAAAAAGGTAATGATCGCTCTGCTAAACCATTGTTCAACGACTTAAAGCTTCTCCTTTATGAGCTACTGCCCAGTTCCTAAAATGTATTGTCCCGCTGAATATTTTTTTAAAAGTCGGGACGTATAAGCGTCCCGATTTTATATATTTGTACCGATTCAGTCCCGATTTTCAGTGTCTTATTTATTCATTTATTAAGACTCTCCCTGTACTGCGGCCCAAAAGTAATTTTTCGTACAAGCGAGGCAGCACTTGTAATAATAATAGATTGGCGCTTACACATATGTTAGTGTTTGGCCGAGCTACTTCTCCAATTTGTGCGTGCGTGCGCCTTGATGTTGTCACACAAAGGGGTGGGACCTACAGTTTTGCGCCGACTCTGAACGGCGATTGTAACTATTTTTATGAGAAACTCGCTCTCATGGCAGAAATACATTCGGAGGTTTGCCATTGCCTGTCGAGGGGAGACCGCTGTTAAGAAAAAAACCTGTCTTAATAATAAAATTACTAATCCTCAAACAAATCGTGGTGTTGAAAAACATAAGCTGTAGATATAGTGACAAAAATGCACATAGGGAGGACACATTTTAGCTTTCTTTGGCTATTCCCCTTTCGCTTATTTAATGTTTATTACTTTTTATGAAAGTGTGGCTCATTATCTAACAAAGACCATGTAAGCCAAAATTTCAAACTTTGTTCAAAAATTAGCAAAATTCGACAAAGTTTCATACAAACTTTGAGCTTTGTAATTAGATTTCTTAGAAATGTTCTCAGTATGCAATAACCCATTCAATTCAAAGGGCAAAATTTAAGTTGCCCCGTTGATATTTGGTAAATTTTTTTTTTGAAAGTGTTGCTCATAGAAATTGAATTGCTAAACATAATGTGTATAGAAGAAAATGCGCGAACAAAAAATTACCAAAAATCAACGGTTAGTCCAAGATTCTTCCAACTTGCACTTTATTATACCAAAATTTAATGAGCTACAAAACTGTATACCCAAAATTCTAGAAAATCCGATTAAAATGTTTCAAATTGTTATGTACAATTATTAAGATTTGTGGAATTTTTATAAACCTCCTGCCAATTTTGAAATCTTGATTTACATAATTTTTTTATAGTAAATTATATTTTCATAAACAAATAATAAACAAGCTCGTCAAGAACTTCAAGCAAAGCGGAACGTCACGCATTCCAATCTAAAAGCACACAAGCTAATAAGCGAACATTTCTAAAGTGCAGAGTAGAGAAGCGTAAAACAAGACACAAACGACTATTTATTTAAAAACTCAAATAGACAGAAAGTAAAAGTAAAATTAGACTTTATGCTAATTACACATCTCAACAAGCGTGAAACCAAAACCTGCTGGTCGACACGTTCCGCCAGTTATTCGTCCAAGCAAGATTCTCATTAATAGAATATGTATCTCAAAGTGTTTACAAAAATTTTGTTGTTACACTTAATTAAGTGCAAAAAATTATCAAAGGCATAACAAAATAAATATTGCATTTGCATGGAATATTTGTTAACGCCACTTTACGGCGTTACATTCAACATGAAATTGTACTCGTAGGCCTGACATCAAATAGCTATTCTCTAATAATGACCAACTGATAAGAGGACAGATTTTATAGTAAAATTTTTTCCAATACATTTTATGCATACCTAGTATTATTTATTTTATTCAAGTCCATTATCATTTAAAAGACTCCTGCTTAATTATTTATTTATATATATATTTTTTTTTCACTTGCAGCACACAACTATGCAAACTAGCGAGGAACGCACTAGCAATTACTAAAGTGATAACACATTACTGCTACATATTTTTATATTAGCTAGTCCAGTCAATCAACCGCGCACTATAAAAACAGCTGACCGTCGAGTCGATTTAGTGGTGAAGAAGAGAAAGCAACAAACTTCAGCAGTAGCAGCGTCCGCGTCAGCGTCAGCGTCCGCGTCGTTGTCGTTTGCCGTTAGGCTTATCATATCAGCAGGCGACAGACAGTCCGTAATAATCCGCAGCAAACAGCGCCAGTTGCAACAACAACAATAACAGCAACAGCCAATAAGGCAGCAATCATAATTAAAGCAGCAGCCGACAACATGATTTCACATAGTCCACCCATCTTTAGCCATAGCCCACCAGTCAGTTTCCTATCGGACTACATGAACAATCATCGGTGAGTGATCGAAGTGCGAACGTTGAAATATTTTTGTATGTAACGTAAGGCGGCTAGGCTAATGTGTAGGAAGAAAGTTCTGCTCGAAACAGGATTATGTTATCCTAAGTGCAGTGAAAGCTATTGAAAATGTGTTTAAAAAGTGCCTTCAAAATGCATTTTTGGTGAAATATCTAATTGGCGAAAGTAATAAATGTTGTGCCTAAAAATTTTGTGCTTATTTAGACCGGTGATTGTAAGCCTTGAAAGCCAAGAATGAAAGATTGCAAACGTAGTCAATAACATAAAACTATTCTATGAAAAATATACAAAAATTATCGTGGTTCAAATTTTCGTGATATAAGAAATATTGCAAAAATCCAGTTATCTTAGGCTTTATAAGAAAATAAGTTATTAAAAAGACTGAATTGAAAAAAGAATACAAATTATTTGAAAAAAAAAAGATTGGAATTTATTATCCTAAAACAAATATCTTTAAATTCAAAGAATCTTGTAAAGTATTTTGAACCCGATTTTACATTTTGTCAGCTGTTTACAAATGCCCTACCATAATTATTTGAAGGGCGATCTGAGGATCAGTTCGAACAATCAAATTCAAAGGTACATTATATTATCCAAATACATATACATATGTAGGCATATACGTAGACGAACCTGAGCGAATTGATACAATATTTTCATCTCAAGCACAAATTTGACCCGATAGCAACTTTGTGGCAGCAACGCCACAGTGCATCAATTGGTTGCAAAAAAAATAAAAATAAGTGACCACTTAGAGTTTTTATTGGCTTTCCATGCATGTATTATTTATCTTTCAATAATTTTATTAAAAAATGTATTTTTTTATTTTTTCTATTTCATTTAATTTTTATTTTCGTTTACTCCATTTTATTTTTTTTTGTTTCCTTACTATATTTTATTATACTATTTATTGTGTTTTTTTTTCTTTTCGATTTTTTATCTTATATTTTGTTGAACGCATTGTTTTTATTTATTTTTCATTTAATTTAATTTTTATTTATAGTTTATTCTATTTTGTTTTGAGTGTTTTTTAACTGTTTATTCCTTATTTTGTTTTTTTTATTATTTCTTAATTTTACATTTTACTCAACAATTGTTTTTTCTTTTATTTTTTTACTTAATTTTATTTTTATTTAAATTTATTCTGTTTTATTTCGTTTCCTAACTCTTTTGTTTTATTATTATTATTTTTTCCTGTTTTTTATTTTTTATTTTTCTTATTTTTTTTAACCAGAGTTGTGAGAAATACATTAATTTTTTAATGCATAGCATTTTAATGTTAATGTAAAAAATTAATGCATTAATTTTTGAAATTTAATTCAAATGAAAATTTAAATGCATTAATCCCGAAGAAATAATGGTAATGATTTTTTTTTGGATTAACAATTTGCAATTTTTTAATGAATTCTACTGCAATCATTTATTGCATTCAAAGTATAACAAGCATGAAAAACCCATTAACTAATTTTATTTTGAAGTAAAATTCTTTGTTGACGTTGAGGGTAGAATTTTGAGGTCAAAAAAGATAGTGGCGAAAGTTAAGGTTGGTTTTCACTATGTCAAATTCAATGGCATTTGTAGTCAAAACACATTGTCGAATGGAACTAAAAACGGTTTATTGAATGATTTAGATCAGAATAAGTTTTCAGTCGTAGACATGTGCTGCTAAATTGGCTATCTGTCCGTTTTTGGTCCATAACATAATGGGCATGCACCATAAATCAACATAAAAATCTACAAAAGCACACACTGTGCTGCAATAAAGTTTAACTCCATCTTTATTATAAGTGGATCATTGTTACGGTAACCAGAGTTCTGTGGAAAACAATCGGGACATTTCTAAAGCATCGAATGTGAACAGTTTTGTAGAATCGTTTCATTATTAAAAAAAACATTAACAAACAATCTAAAAACCTTAAAAAAGTTGAAACAAGAATGATAGACGGCAATATAGCGAGAGTACCAGTTCGACAGAATAAAACGTAACCGAAGATCATAGAAAATATGAATGCTGTCTATGTTTATGGCTCTCTTATATTCTATGTTCTTTGTGATAACGAAAGTGTTGCCACGTTTGTCCGAAAAATGGGTTTTGGACCAGAGTACAGCAAAACACTGAAAATCGGGATTTTATCGGTACGAATATAAAAAAACGGGACACTTATACGCCGCAACGTTTAAGAAATAACTATTCAACGAGATAATTTTCTCGAAATCGGTACTGTCCCGCCAAAATCAGTGGTTACCGTAATTATTGTGTTTCTTTTTTTTGCCGAGCGCGCGCACCACACAAATTTCTAGAGCTATAAGATATGGAATTTCACGCAGATTTCTTTGCTTTTTTCTACACACAAACAAAGCACCTCCGCAGAAGCTAAGAAATCTATAAATAGGTTGCAATACATGTATATTTTTTATTTTATTTATTTTTTTTCTATTTTTCTACGCTTTTGTCAACAACCAAGCAGTGTCAACTACATACACTTATTCTGTATTATTTGTTATTATTGTTGCTGGCTGTTTTTTTTTTTTTGGTACCGCAACAGCTGCTCTTGACACTAATGGAAGTCATGGCCAGTCAAGATCATAGCTCTCATAGATTTGCTCTCAATTGGCAGATTCATGCGACAGTACCTATTTCTTAAATTAAATAAAAAAATTTCTTTAAACCACTGATCCACGTATCTACATATACTATATATGCCTTGGGCATACGATCCCTAATCACTTGCGAGAATGGCCCATCCCCCAGCCAACAAGTTTTGATGAGTATAATTATTTGAGCATAGGTAATGAGACAGCTGGCTGCTTTAAAAATAACTATAAAGGGCAGACAATTTTTGAATTATGTAGGTAATATGTAGATATGTACACTAGGGTTGTCCAAAAAATAATGTAAAAAAGTAAAGTCGGGATTTTTATGCTCTCAACCCCTAGGACTGTTCTATATCGAAAAAAGTATAGCCCTATTTTTTTATTTTGATTTCAAAATAAAAATAGGGGTACACTTTTTTCCATACAGAACAATGCTAGGGAGTGAGAGCATTAAAATTCCGACTTTACTTATTTTGAACCTCCCTAATGTACACACATATAAGAACATGAGAAACATTTTAAAATAATCAAAACTGCAGTTATGTAACAGTAAGATTACTGCTCATAAGCAAATTTCATCATTATCCACTGTAAAATTTACTATTAACATGCAGGCCTTTCAATACGCTGTAACCTTACAGCTTCCTGTAGGCATCCTCTGTTAAATTTTATTTAAAGAAAGGAATAAATATTTTATGAGCACATTAGTAGTATTACGACATTATGTTAGAAAGACAGTCAAAAATTGTTGCCAACCGCAAAAATGATTCTATTCCATTTTTAACTGTTTCTAATCACCGTTTCACATAATAACTAATACAAAAAGAATCCCGCCGAAAACAACCTTACAGCGCTGTTAACCTCGAAAAGAGATCATGGCAACTTCAAAAATGTATGTAACTGAGTATATTTATAGTAAGTGTTTAATCACTAATTAATAATCTCACCCACTTGAACCCGTAAAGTCACAAGTTGTAATAAAAAATACATACATAGATAAATATGTATGTACAAATAATTACGATTAGTTACATGCATGCAAACATAAATACACAATAGATAAGACACGCGTCTGAGGCGTGCTAACAGGCTGCTAGCTTGACTTACTAGCAACCTCCAGCCGGTCTAGTCGCCGGCTTGCCTGATTTAGAAACTATGGAAATGTAGCGCCATGATGTGCTGTCACTTTGATTGATAATGTCGTGAGAAGGGAGGAGGCAGTGTGTGAAAAATATGCATACATACATACGTACATACATACAATTGATTAATACATACTTTTGTGGACTAAAAGTGTTAATATGGACCACATTTCAAATTGCAAAGTTTTCACATATGTATCTACATATCGCAGATTTAATAATATCGAGATGTTATTCAAAATTTACGTTTTTGGAGATTTCATCACAAAATTAATATCCTTCATAAGAAGAATATGTTAAACCTAACAAATGACTAAACTTCCCAATGTCAATATGTGTCTTTCTAGCTGTCTTTTGGTAGATCAGCTGTATGAATTGTTCAAACTTTGATAGCGTTTTCCCACAAAATTGAAATTTTGAAATAATTACGTCTTTTTGGCGGTTAGGGTAAGTAGTTTTTATGTTCAAGTGATTGTACGAACTATATTCTATTGGCTAGAAGGTACAAACAAAACTTCTTTCTAGTTTAAATATTCTTGAAACAGCCCACAGTGGTCGGAAAGACCATATTTTACGCGAAAAATAAATATTTTAAAACCGAGATAAATTAACCGAAATAAAGCTATTCTTATTCAGAAGTGTCTAACGAACTTCAAACTGATTATTATTTTCAATAATATCGATCGTGGCACGTTGTAACAGTTATGAGTTGATAGCTTTCTTAACAATTTTTTTATGAAAACTTTCAATTATAACAGTAATTGCTGGTTTGGTGTTACTTCTAAAATATGGAAAATAATGATTTTATATGATATATTACATAATAAAACTTGGTTGCTAAATTATCAACACCATAATAACGCGGCTTATTTTTCAAGAAATATTTTCTTCAAAAAGGTGTAATTTGTAGGACCGAGTAGTACCAAAATCTAATTCGAAAGTCCCTTAAAGGATCTACGAAAAGAAATTCCGTGCATACTCGCGCCAGAAAGAGGGGCGGACATTTTCATTTCACTAGACCAACTTTAGCAGTTGTTCCAAATAACATAACGTATATTAAAATATTAAAGATTAATGTAATTTATTCTATATTTAGCATCATACGAGTATAATTTATAGGATTATAAAATAAAAAATAAAAAATCTTTAAAAAACTGTTGGGGCCTAGATCAAATTGTTTGACTGAACATATAGCAGACGTCCCCAGGTATCCCAAATTAATAATATAATTACTGTTATTAT